CAGATTGTTAATAGATCTTCCACCAATCCTGACGCCACATTTCTCCTCATAGAGCCCAGCCCCCCAGATAATCTGTTCTGCATACAGATTGAAAAACTATGGAGACAGGATGCATCCCTGGCGTACGCCCTTCCCAATTCTGAACCATGCAGTGTTTCCCTGCTCTGTTCTGACGACTGCCTCTTGGTCCAAGTATAGGTTTTGCAATAGCACAATCAAGTGTTCCGGGATTCCCATTTTTCTCAGAGTCAGCCACAGTTTGTTATGATCCACACAGTCAAACGCCTTTGCATAGTCAATGAAACACAGATAGACATTCTTTAGGTATTCCCTGCTTTCAGCTAAGATCCATCTAACATCAGCTACAATATCCTTAGTATCACAACCCCTTCTAAACTCAGCCTGGACTTCTGGCAGTTCTCTGCTGATGTGCTGTTCCAGTCATTTTTGGATAGTCTTCAGTAGAATCTTGCTTGCCTGTGAAATCAATGAGATTGTTCTATAGTTTCTACACTCTGGTAGGTCACCCTTCTTTGGGATGGAAACAAATATAGACCTCTTCCAGTCAGTCGGCCAGGTGGTTGTTCTCCACAACTTGGTGAGCACATGCAGGGCAGCATCTGTTAGCTGAAATATGTCAATTGGTATACTATCTATTCCTGGGGCCTTATTTTTTGGTATTTCCTTCAAAGCAGCCTGAACTTCTTCCTTCATTACCATAGGCTCTTGATCATTTGTTGTTTCATTAAATTCTGTGTCTGCCAATTCCTTTCGATACAGTGACTCAGTATATTCTTTCCATCTTCTTTTAATACTTCCTGGATCATTTAATATTCTGCCTAAAGCATCCTTGATTATAGCAACTCGAGGTTTGAATTTGTTCTTCAGTTCCTTGAGCTTAGGAAATGCTGATTGAGTTCGGCCCTTTTGATTTTCTGACTTCAGTTCCTTGTACATTTCATTGTAATATTTTACTTATCCCGTGCTGCCTTTTGAAATCTTCTCTCCAGCTCTTTAGTATCTTGAATTCTTCTTTCTGCTCTGGCTTCTTTGTGCTCCAGTGCAATATTCAGAGTCTCTTCTGACATCCATTTTGGTCTTTTCTTCCTCTTCTGTCTTTGCAATGATCATTTGCACTCTTCCTAGATACCCTTGATATCCTCCCACAGCTCATCTGGTCTTTGCTCATTAGTATTTAAGGCCTCAAACCTATTCCTGAGATGGTTCTGAAATTCAGGTGGGATATTTTGGTTCCCGTGGATTTGGTTTTATTTTCCTCAGCTTCAGCTTGAACTTGCATATGAGTAGTTGGTGGTCTGTTCCACAATCAGCTCTTGGCCTAGTTTTCACAGCTGATATTGAGCTTCTCCAGCGGTTCCTTCCACAGATGTAATCGATCTGATTCCTCTGCATACCATCAGGTGAAATCCATGTATATAACCTGCATGTGTGTCTCTTATAAAACATATTTCCAATGAATAAATCATTGATTGTGCAAAATTCAATCATTCTTCACCTCAATTTCTGTCACCGTGTGTGTCCATGTTTTCCAGCTACCCATTCCAGTCACCCATTATTATCAATGCATCTTGATTGCATGTCTGATCGATCTCTGACTGTAAAAGTTGGTAGAAATCTAGAAATTATATAACATTTCATATATCTGTAGTTATCTCTGCCCTGCACAGTGTTCCTGAGAGGTTAAGATGGCTAGAAAAGATGAGACCCAGTGAAGGAGTAGGAGTGACTGGTGCCTGTTGCTCAGTAGCATTTTGCTGTCTCTAGAGCCTTGGTGAGAGTAGATGGGTGGGAAGGGCAGTCCAGAAAGCCAAGCATATGGTATGGATTAAAATTTCCTCAATATTTTCCCTTACTTTCTCTGGTTCCACTAAAGATTTAACAGACATCTGTTAAAACATGTCTTTGTCTCTTTCATCTCTTCCAGACTCAACTATGGTGCTTCCTGACTGATGATTTTATAAGAGTGCCAGCAAGCCTAAAGCAGCATTTCCAAAAAGTACTTGAGTTGTCCTCATTACCATGGAGACCCAAAAGGATGAAACTGCTCAAGACAAGAGAATAGCCACTTTGAGGAATAGCCAGGCTGAAGGGACAGTGAAAGGAGCCAAGAACAAGATAGCTGAGGTAAAAGAAAGGCCAATGTCAGAGATATCTGGCCCAGGCAGGCTGAGGAAAACCGCTATGAAACTTTTTGGTGGTAAGAAGGGCATCTGTACATTGCCTAGTTTTTTTGTAGGGGCACGAAGCAAAGGTGCTAGGAAAGCCAGCTCCAGGAAAAGTCTCAGCAAGATCAGAATTCATGATGGCTTAAGTGAGTTAAACGGTGTCCCTGAAGATGTTGCCAGTGAGGGAAGTGGCTTCACCCTACCTTTGCCTGAGTCATCCATCGATCTTCCCAGCTCCCAAAGTGCCAGTAGAGCTTTGGATACAGGCTCAAGGAGTAAATTATCTGTGCTTGGAGTCACAGAGAAGGCTGAAGCTGACAAGGTTCCCTTTGTGCTCAAGCCAAAGAAGGGTCTGAAAGGTTTTTTCAGCAGCATACGCCGTCACCGGAAGGGAAAGTTCATTGGGTCTGAACAAAGTGAACCTGAAGCCAAGGTGCTTGAAGATGTTAAAATCAGTTCTAATGAACATATGGGTTCAGTCTCTCTGCTCCACTCTGAGGAAACCTTCCAATACTCAAGCAAGGAAGATGCCAAATTAAAAACTGCCTTTATGTCAAAATTTTCTCCAGCACCAGATCCTTCTTTACCAGTTACTGAGAAAACAGCTTATAAAGACCCAGAAAAACTGATGGAGGTGTATAATTCAGCACTGTTGCAGCTCAAACCTGTCCCTGAAGCCAGTGGCCTTGAGCAGCCCAGCAGTCCAGAAACAGGGAACAAGATCTTGACAAGAGAGGTAAATCCACCCAGTGGTCCTGTGGGGGATCAAATAAGCCTTTTGTTTGGGGATGTCACATCTCTGAAAAGCTTTGACTCCCTGACAGGTTGTGGGGACATCATAGCTGAGCAAGACATGGACAGCATGACAGACAGCATGGCTTCTGGAGGCCAGAGGGCCAACCGAGATGGGACCAAGCGAAGTTCTTGCCTCGTGACTTACCAGGGAGGTGGGGAGGAGATGGCCTTGCCAGATGAGGAGAAGGAAGCTGAGGAGGAAGAAGTAGTGGTTAAAGAGGAAGATAATGGCTTAGAATATCTATGGGCAAGTATCCCAATGTACCCAAAGCCCAACCTGAACATGGGCTACCATCCCACCACATCCCCAAGCCACCACAACTACACACTCCTTGATCCAATTCAGTCTTATCCTGGCCTAGGCCATGGGGACCTTTTGACTCCTCAAAGTGACCAGCAAGAGTCTGCCCCCAACAGTGATGAAGGTTATTATGATTCCACTACACCTGGATTTGAGGAGGATTCAGGTGAGACCCTGGGACTTGTCCACAGGGATTACCTGCCCCGGGATAGCTATAGTGGAGATGCCCTTTATGAGTTTTATGAGCTAGATGATAGTTTTGAAAATTCTCCACCTGGAGATGATTGCCTTTATGATCTCCATAGTTGCAGCTCTGAAATGTTTGACCCCTTCTTAAACTTTGCATCATTTTTTCCCTCTGGGCCACCTGGGGCAATGGAGACAGAGGAGGAACGACTAGTGACCATCCAGAAACAGTTATTGTATTGGGAGCTTCGGAGGGAACAGTTTGAGGCTCGAGAGGCCCAGGAGGCACATATTCAAGAGGCTTATGTCCACACCAGGGACAGCTATACCCAAGAAGCTCATACCCAGGAAATTCATACCAGAGATATCCTAGCCAAAGAGGCCTATGCTAGGGAGATGCAAGCCTATGAGACCAATGCCAAGGAAGCCTGCACTCAAGAGGCCAGTACTACAGAGGCCCAGGCTCAGCAAGAGAAGCACACTATAGTGTATCAGACGAGGCCTTTAAGCCCATCAGTGATAGGTTTGGTAATAGAATCATCAGGAGTCTCTCAAACTTTCCACCAAGGTACCACCTCTGCTTTTCCTGCCACTGGAAGCAGTAAACCAGACTGGAGGGACTTCCGTCCACTAGAGAAGCATTTTGAAGGAACCTGCTCCAAGAAAGATCAAAGTGCCTGCCTGATGCAGCTTTTCCAGAGTGATGCCATGTTTGAGCCAGACATGCAAGAAGCAAATTTTCTAGGGTCCCCCAGAAGGTCCTATCCTACATATTCACCTCCTGAGGAGCCAGAGGAAGGGAAGATTGAGAAGGAAGGGAATGCCACTGTGAGTTTCTCACAGGCCCTGGTGGAGTTCACCAGCAATGGGAACCTCTTCTCCAGCTTGTCTTGTAGCTCTGATTCTGACTCATCCTTTACACAAAACCTCCCTGAGCTTCCACCCATGGTGACCTTTGACATTGCTGATGTAGAACGGGATGGAGAAGGTGAGTGTGAAGAGAACCCTGAGTTCCACAATGATGAAGACTTTGCAGCTTCCTTAGAAGCTTTCACAATGAGCTACTACTACAAACACACTTTTAATAACTACCACAGCCCATTTTACCAAGGCCTGCCCTGGAATGTAAGTAGCCTCCCTCGATACTTGGGACTGCCAGGTATGCACCCTCGGTCTCCACCTGCTGTCATAGCTCTTAACAGGAGAAGTCGTTCCCTCGACACTGCAGAAACCCTAGAGTTGAAACTTTCTAGTTCCCATCTGGCTCAGTGCTATGTGGGGTCTGATGAGCTTCAGCCTCAGAGGGAAGATTCAGATGAAGAAGAGGAAGAAGAAGGAGAATGGGGCCAAGACAATACCTTTTCTCTCTGTACTGAAGCACTAGGAGCCTTTGACTCACCTGCTTGGGCCCCCTTTCCTATCCAAGTGAAGCCAGGCTCTGCTTGGATAAACACAAGTCAGCTGAGTGAGCCTTCTAACCAGTCTCTTTATGGCCAGGCAATCTGTTGTGTATCTCCTGCAGCCATGTCAATGTCTCTTCCAGTACCAGAGCCAGACCCAATGGTACCTGGAAGACCTGGGCCTCAAGTAGCTCGACCTTCACACCTACCCCTACCCATGGACTCTTGCTATAATCCCCAGCCACAGACCTCTCAAAATATGAACGTCAAACCTCAAGGTGTGCTGCTACCTATGATTGAATCAAAATGCTCTTCTCGTTCTAGAGGTTTCAGCTGCAACCCTCTCTTGCAAGCCAAACCTGTGAGCATTCCACAGCTGTCCAGAATCCTGCCTGAGTGCCGACAGCCTCAGCCCATTCACTGTAAAGCTTCAGGGCTTGACCTGTCAAAGGAAAGTGCTGCACAGGATGCTGCACGCGTCACCAACTACTCCTCCATTGTTGTGAATAGAAATGTAGTTGAGTAGTTATCATCCATTTCAGAGTAGGGGAATGGAGCCTGAGCATGTGAGGATCAGGGATTGGGCAGAAGGGTGATAGGGTAGAATTTCCATTTAAATTGAAAATAATTTTGACTAGAAAAATTTCTGTAAGTTTTTACCTTTGTTTTTCCACTTTCTCCTTCTGCCTATTTTTGGTCACATTTAACTTGGGTACATCTGCCCAGAAAGGCTGCTACTTCACTCCTGATTTTGTTTGGGGGCTTCCTTTTTGTGATTCATTCGGGTTTTTAATTTTGTAATTTTTGCGTGGGTGCCGTCTCCCACTTGGCATAACTACCGCCATTACATAAGATATTTATAATCTGTTTGTCTCAGCTAGATGACATTAAAGAGGAAAAAAAATAGCATGTATCACATTGCTTATTGTTGTGAACTTTGGCATCATTACCAAATGGAAGCTTTTAAATATGGCCTGCTAGAGCTTAGGCTGAAGAAAAAAAAGTCTACTTCCCTAATGGAGTGATCAAATTCTTCCATTTGCAAACGGAAGACAAATTAGGTTCTATTATGGACACTGCTATAGACACTTAAGGTTTGGAATGATACTATTTCCCCCTTCTTCTCTTAAACCTGTAGCTGCCAGAGTTGTAGATGCTTCTGAATTTTTATTCTTTTTTTTTCTTCAAAGGAAGTTTTCATAATCTAACCAGAAGAAGCATGTTCTTTTAACTGAGATATTAGAAGATAAATAGGGGCTAAATTTTGAGAAGGTGTAGTTTCTGTGGGGTGTCAACAGTTAAGCACCAACAGGTTGGTGATTCAACCCCACCCAGAGGTGCCTCAGAAGATAGACCTAAATCCTGTACAGTGATTCTTCTCGTGAGTCTATGACAACTAATGACAACAAGAGGAATGACAGAAAAAGGAGGCCTGTTTGTCCCAGCCAGCAGGAGAGGGAACTTTCAGACTTTGTAGAGCTTAAGGAAACCTGATTGTTTAGAAAGAAAACTGCTTCCCTTTACCAAGCAAAATTTCTCTGAGCTTTGTTCACCCTTTTGTTTGAACTCTGACTTCAAGTTTGCCTGGCTGATGGTTTCTGGAGCATTTCTGAGATAGTATACCAAAGACTACTCATCTGTTGTTCTGGACTTTCTAAGAGGTTTCAAATTTTAATTAGCTAAGTCCTTAGTGTCATGAAAGATCCACCCTTCTTCAGAAGACTGACACACTCTAACTCTGCAGAACTCTGATTTGTATGACAATTGCATGTTCAACTAAGTTGTAAATTGTAATAGGCCAGTCTTGCCAGATACTGCTGAAGATCACTTTAAAAATTGGCTAGAACAATAGATAGGGAATTGCCAGAGGTTCAGGCAAGATTTAGAAGAGGCCATGGCACCAGGGATGTCATTGTTGATATCAGATGGATTCTGGGCAAAGTAAAGAATATCAGAAGAATGTGTATTTGTGCTTTATTGACTATGCAAAGGCATTTAACTGTGTGGCTTATAGCAAGTTGTGAGTGACATTGAAAAGGATAAAAGTCCCAGAGCACTTAATTGTGTTCATGCAAAACCTATAACTGATCCAGGAGGCTGTTGTGCGAACGGAGCAAGGTAACACTGTATGGTTTAAAATTAAGAAGGGAGTGTGTCAGGATTGTATTCTCTCTATATACCTATTTAATCTGTACGCTTAGCAACTTACTTGAGCTGGACTCTATAAAGAGGAGTATGACATCAGTATTGGAGGGAGACTCATCAATAACCTTTGTTATGCAGATGACACAACCTTGCTTGCTGAAAGTGAGGAGGACTTGAAGCACTTGATACAGAAGACCAAGGAATGCATCCTTTGGTATGGATTATATCTCAATGTCAAGAAAACAAATATTCTTACCGGTGGACCAATAGGCAGCCTCATGATGGATGGAGAAGAGATTGAAACTGTCAACAACTTGTGAATTTTATTTGGATCCACAATTAACACCCTTGGTACCAGCTGTCAGGAAATAAGGAGACACATTGCATAGGGAAAATCTCCAGTTAGGGATCTCTTCAAATTATTGAGGAGTATTGATGTCAGTTTGAGGACTAAGGTGAGTCTGATTCAAGCCATGGTCTTTCCAGTCACTTGCTATGCATCTGAGACCTGGAGAATGAACGACAGAAGAAGAATTCATGCCTTTGAGCTGTGATGTTGGAGAAGAGCACTGAACTTCCTGTGCACAGCCAAAAGAACAAACAAATATGTCTTGGAAAGGGTGCTGTAGTTTTCTTTGGAGGCAAGAATGAGGATGCTTTGCCTCACATACTTTGAACATGTTGCTACAAGGGGCAATTCTTTGGAAAGAGACATGATTCTAGAAAGGGTGGAGGGTTGATGAAAGAGAGGAAGACCCTCAACCAGGTGGATTTACATGGTAACTGCTACAACCTGATGGAGGGTTGTTATGAGCAGGAACTGACTTGATTGCATTGAGTAAGTAAGGGAATGAATCTTGCCAGACTCATTCTCAGATCATCAATATGAGAGGGTTCCTTTTCAACTGTTTACTGGAAATAACATATGGAACATACTGTGCATGAACATGCAGACCTGGCTTGTGCTTCTGCCCCGTCCTGTAGCCGCCGCCCCCCCCCCCAAGTATGCCCATACTCATTTCCATGCCTGTCAAGAGAAATGATGAACTGAGTTCTTGCCATTCCTGTGACACAGCAATTTAACTTGGGAACAGATATTGTTCACCCCTGGGTCAAGTAACTTTGTATGCAAACTGCCTCTTCTCCAGGAGGTATCTAAGCTGGTCTTTGTCACCATTTCTAAGATTTGAGTTGGCCCAGTGTCGCTGTCTACAAAAAAGCAGATCTGGCTGGATGAAGTTGCACTCCTGCACTCATGAGTTTTTCATGGTACCAACACTACTCTTCAAGGCTACCAGACCACCTTTTCAGGCTGGCTGTGACTAACATTGTGAAGAAGTGCCTGAGTCATGGAGCAAGAGAATGAAAGAAAGTTAAAAAGACTCTTCTAACCCCAAGCACAATATAATGGGGAATGTTCTCAAATTCCTACTACCAATACCAACCCTGACAAATTGGGGATGAAATTAGTTTGACTTGGATAGGAAAGGAAACACCAAACAATAGGGGAAACACCTTTAAAACAGGGTGAAACTCTCCTGTTGCCTCCTGTGTCTTTGCTTGTCCTTTAGAGCAGCTCAAACTCCTGTTTGCCTGTGGACTGTGTCAGCTGCATCAAGCAATAAGCCATCACCAGCCTTCAGCATACACACTGAAGGGAAAGAGAAAAGTAGGTAGTCAGCCTTTGTCCAAAGGCTGAGAGCTGCCCTCAAGGCAAGGAAGGCCTCTAAGTAGGTCTCTCATCATCCTGGCACATCTTTTTTTATTTTTGTGAGGCCACATACCAGTGAGTAGGGCCTGACCGAGTGGAAAGTTACAGTTAGAACAACATCTCTGTCCATATATCCCTCTGGCTATTGATGGATAAAGATCCTCACCACCAGAGGAGAGACAGTCAGGGTATATGGCTGTGGAAACAATTGTCTTTGTGTTTCACTGTAAAGCCAAAAAATCCATGACCAAACCCCACCTTCAGCCTAGAGCTGTAAGGAAGATTTGGTTAGGGAAATATGATGATTACATCTCAGAGTGACCCTGAGAGAACCAGCTAAATTCCAGATTTCTCATATATAAGCTTGCTTGGCTGACACCAATTATACCCTGGGTTGGTAAAGGTCTTAATGTCATGTCTATTACTTCCTATTAAAGAAATGAACCCCCAGGCTGTGGAGCACCATTTCTCCATTCCAGAGTTCTAGGATAATACTTTTATGTCATTTTCAAGGAGTACTGGTGGACTAGTGGTAAGGAGCTGCACTGACAAAAAAACAAATGACAAACACAAACAAACCAAAAACAACAAAACATTTAAACTGCATGTAGTTAGAATCCACCAACTGCTCTACAGGAAAAAGATGGGAAATCTCCCATTTGATTTAGGCTCTGAAAATTTGGAGTGTCTAACTCCATGGCACAAAACAGCAGCATGTGACTTTAAGAGAAGATGCCACTTTATAATAAGTGGTTGCATTCATCTTGCTACCTAGCAGACATATCTACTGCTAGACAATTCTGATCTTAGAATTTTCAGATAAGAACAATCCTTAGAAGGAAGAACCTTAGAAGTGAATGTGAGTAGAGGAGGATGCCTAGTCAACCCCTTTCAGGTTTAGGATGCTGGGGGTTTTGCACGTTAGAGCCTTTAAAGGAAGCTTTACAACAATACTTGCCTAATTAGATTCTTTCTTGTCCATCTGGACTCTGTGGATACCAACCACAAGTCTAGGACAAAGAGCAGACTACCTTTGCAATGCTATAAAGTGGCTTATCACACTCCAGGAGACAGTACATGCCCCTCATCCTGACAGTGATTTTCCTTCCTATGCCACAGTCAACTTTGTTTGTCCTTGTCTCCCAGTCTCATTTTTTGAGGGGGTTTAGCAGGGAAACTTTGACTTTATCCATGTGTATGCCATGTGTATGTTCTATCTAGGTTATATATATATATATATAGTTGATTGCTATCAAGTCGAGCATGACTCATAGCTTCCCTATGAACAAAAGGCCTGAAACCTTTCTATAACTATAGTCATTTATCAAAGTTCATAGAGTTTCCAGGGGCATGTTTAGGAAGTGGATGCCACTCCTGTGTGTGTGCATGCACATGTGTGTGTGTGTGCGTGTGTGTGTGTGTAGGTGTGTATACAGAGAGAGAGGGACAGCAAGTGCTCTGGTGGAAAGAAGTTGCGCTGTAATCCCAAAGATATTTGGTTTGATACTACCTGGTGCTCCATGGGAGAAAAATGAGCAGTCTCCTCCCATGCAATTAAATGCCTCTGAAAACCCGCCGGAGGGTCAGCTATGGGTCTGTTCTGATGCTATGGTACATAACAACAATATATATAATCTCCAATTATCTATTTTTGTATTTTTTTATTAATGGAAAATTATTCTTTTCTGATAGATTTTAAGTGATGGCTGTTTACAATTTTAAACAAAAAGATTATACAAAAATAGCTGCTGCTTGTGCAGAGAGCTGTCATCTCAACTTCCCAGGGCCTTCACTCTTTCCATTCCCACTCTATCCAATTGTCCAGTCCCTTCAGAAGATGCTCAGGTACTGAAGACAAATGCCAGGTAACTCAGGCACAGGGTACCTGGTAAATAACATGTTGTTTTTATTACTTTGTTTTTATTTCAGTCATCACCTTCAGTATTTAGGAAATTCTAGAAGTACTCATGTTTCTATCTTTTTTTATTGCTCTTTATTGTTTCATGTTTTTCTCTTGTGATTAGAGTACCATGTTGTGGTGGGTTTTGTGGGTGTTATTTCTCCAAAAGAGCATTTTTGGGACTCTCTCCACAAATTGAAGAGTACAGTGGTTTTCAGACACATACCAACCAGTCTTCCTAAGAAGCAAAGGGAGATGATGTAAATGGTGCTCGAATTATTGACCATTTCATTGAGAAAACCCTTGCAGGGAAATTCCTAGAAATCAAGTTGATTGTTACATTCACCCAGAATTAAGTTTGGGAACTCTTTAATCTCTGTGGCTACTTTGGGGAAATCTATCACACCATGCCCCTTCTTTTCACTGTTCTAATGTTCACATTTGCATGGTACTTTAGTAATGAGTGACTATTAGGGTGATGGCTTGTTGACCTGATGCCTCCCTTTTCCATTCTATAATCAACCCAAGGTTGGGTCTGCCAGGAGAATATAATTATTGTTCTTATTATTGATTCTTTTTCCTCTGTATCACTGTCTCTTATTCTATATATGGAGTTGTTGTTGAGTGCTGTCAAGTCATAAATGACTCAGTGACCCTTTGAACGAAAGACCTGAACACTTGTATAGCTTTCATCATTTCTCCACGTTCATAGAGTTTCTGGAATCAAGTCATTTCGGAGGTGGATGCCATTCCTGCTTCCAAGCTTGTTGTACTCAGGAAGCTCCACCAAACACTGTCCACCGTGGGTAACCATTATCGCATTAGACACATCAGTGTCACAGTGTTTAGCATCACAGGAACCATGAGTTACCTACAGCCCCATACTGCTGAACAAATGCATTTTTAAATAGGAGGCCGAATCACATCGTCTCACACCCGTTAGCGAGTCAACATTCCACCCTGATCTTCACCAGAAACAGCAAACAAGCCTTTGTAGAATCCAGAAAATTATATTTAGGTCATATTAAGTAAAATGACTAAGAGAATAAAGGAGGAAATTAGAAATCCCATTACATCCTTACCCGAGGAGAAAGCATTCTTTTTCTCCCAGTGCAGAAAGGAAAGCAAGCCTCTTGGCTTTCCCTTCTCCATTTCCCACACATGTAATCACCTGGGTTGTGACCTCTCCATTCCTGCACTGCTTATGTGTAATAGCATATTTGTTTTGCGAAATGCTAATAAACTTCCAAGTTCAAGAAGGACTTCTCCCATTCAGCCCCCATGAGCACAAAAGACACTCCTTGTTGTTTGTTCATATTCTGTTGCTGTTATGTGCTGTCAAGTTGTTTGCGACTCATAGCAACCTATGTACAACAGCCCTAAACCCTGCTCTATCCTGTGCCAATCGCATTGCCTCTGACACACCCATCCCAATTACCCCAGTCACTGAATCAATCCACCT